TGTTGGGAAAAAAGATAAAGTTGGCAGTATTGAAAATTACCAGTGCTGCGTTTTGTTTCTCCCAATTAATTTTCAATACTACCAACTTTATCTTTTTTCCCAACACCAACAAAATCAATTTTCGAACGCACTCATGTAGGAAAGATAGGTATAATTATTTCGATATTGCCTCATAAAAATCGAAAATCGATTAATCGACCGACAAAAAAATCGATAAAATATAATCGATTATTTGGATTAAAAAATCGACATCTCCGATTAATCGAAGAACATCGCCCATCCCTAGTACGGAAGCACAGATTAATAGACAGATCGCCAAAGGTCTGGATGAAGGAGAGACCAGCATTTCTCACTGATTTCAGCGCCATATTGTAGTAGTGGTCAATGCAGTAACTATTAATACGTTCCCAAGATAAGAGCGTCTCATGCTCATGAACTCGTCCGGCGGCATGTACGAGATTTATCTTTTCGTAGCGTTCGCGTATTTCGGAAAGGACAGAATTTTATGATGTTATAAATAAATAAATAAATAAAATATTAACCTGACCTATTATAATTATTTTTTAATAAATGTTTCATTATTATTATCATCTAAGTCTAAGTCGTTTAATTAATTTTTAGTTTTTTAATAATTAATTTAATTTATTCTAATCATTTCAATATGTGAAAAATACTAATACGTATACGTTTTATAATGAATTAATATATTTCGAGAGTCGAATATATATTTTTAATAATATAAAAGTGTTCAAAAATTATATTTGACTTTTAATTTTAATTATTTTAGCAAAGAGTTCCGAAATCTCTTACACACATAATAGGGATTTTGTTCATCCATATAATTCGCAATTAAGTATATATGTTAATTATTAATTTTAATAAAATACAAAATTAAAATTAAAGGTCAAATATAATTTTTGAACATAAATATATTTAATTTGTTATAAAACGTATACCCGTGATAGTATTTTTCTCGTACAAAAATAACTAGAATAAATTAAATTACTCATAAAAAAATAAAAAAATAATTAAATAATTTATATTTTATATGATAATAATAAAACATTTTATAAAAAAAACAGATTCAATAAATATAAGTATATATATAACATGTACTTATATTTATTGAATCTGTTTTTTAATAAAATGTTTTATAAGCTTAGAAAACTTGACTTCGACGTAACTAGCAAATTTTATTTAATTATTTCACGACGGTTTGACGTAATAAAATGTTTTATTATTATATAAAATATAAGTTTAAATTCTTTAATTAATTTTTAATCTTTTATGATTAATTTAATTTACTCTAATTATTTTCGTACGAGAAAAATACTATCATGGGTATACGTTTTATAATTAATTTAATATATTTGTGTTTAAAAATTATATTTGACCTTTAATTTTAATTTTATTTTATTAAAATTAATAATTAACATATATACTAAATTGCGAATATATGGATGAAAAAATCCCCATTATGTGTGTAAGAGATTTCGGAACTCTTGCTAAAAAATAATTAAAATTAAAAGTCAAATATAATTTTTGAACACTTTTATATTATTAAGAATATATAATTCGGTTCCCGAAATATATTAATTCATTATAAAACGTATACGTGATATTATTTTTCTCATATAAAAATGACTAGAATAAATTAAATTAATTATTAAAAAACTAAAAAGTAATTAAACGACTTAGACTTAGATGATAATAATAATGAAACATTTTATTAAAAAAAGATTCAATAACTAGTAGGTCAAGTTATAATTTTTTATTTATTTATTTATAACATTATGAGCTATTAAGCTCATCATCTCGTTCGCTCTCTGTCTTGCTTTCATTCGGCAAGTCACAAACGATATATGATACTCGTATGTTCCTACTTCAACTCTCGAGAATCTGAAACAAACGAAACTCGTGTCCAATATACAGGGTGTCCGGTAACTAACAGACCAATGATTACAAATGGATTCTTTGGTCAATTTGGGAACGATTTTTCTTCAGCGAAAATGTCGAAAAAGGTCATCATTTTTTACAACTTTCCAATCTTTGTCATTATGTATCTTTATAACTAAGCCTTAAATTAAAATTTTATTATAGTAAACTCTACCTGAAATTAACTGAAGAATGTAATTATGTTAGACTTTTAACTCCAAAACGTTTAGTTTTCAAAAAACCTATTTTTTTCAATCGCTTATAACTCGAAAATTATTGACTTCTCTACATTTTTGCTAAGGAAAAATCGTCTCCAAATTGGCCAGAGAATCCGCCCTTAATCATTGGTCCGTTAGTTACCGGACACCCTGTATATATTATATAAAAGTGTATAGCACGTCAGAAGCTTGTGAGCTTACAGCGATAAGTAAAAACAATTGCGTATCTATTTCATTGCGTTTATCTGTTTAAACGCGCGCTTTAATTTTTTCAACGTTTTTGCCTGTTTATATTTTAAAGGTCCTCTCTTCTAAAAATCTTGTTTTAAAGATCCTCTCCGCGAGCAAAATTCGAAAACATAAATTATTTAATATTTTTACTTTATTATTTGTAAATCCTCGGTAATTTCAAAATTTTCTATTTGAAAATTATTAATTTTCTATTGCCAATTAATTTTATCACAGACTTTACTCTTACTTCCATTGCACTTTCGTTTGCGGTTTTCAGTATACGATTTTTTATCGTAGTTACTGAAAATTATTATTGTGAATTATACTTGTGCAGTGATTTGAAGAATTTACAATTTCGTTGAAATTGTTGATTCTTCAAAAAAATTACAAGATTCGCGGAAATTGCGTGCTTTCTTGGCATTTTCCGTTCGCGGCAGGCGGTTTATTTTTGATTGTTGCAAGTGTTTTTTTTTTTTTTTATTAAAATAGATAATAATAATGTGAAATAAATCACGATATTTGACAGATGTGCATATATATAGAAATTGTAATAATAATAATATTATATCATAAAATTGTAAATTGTTTCAATTTTTTATAGACTGCGATAAAAGATTTTACATTTGGATAAGAAACTGCGGTAAGTAAAAATATAAAATTCTTGAAAACGTACCAAAAATATTTGATAACGTAAAAACGGGAGGTTTTGACCGTGACAACGCGCGTCAGGCCATCTTCTCCTGGATGACAGGCGACAATTCGTCCAAGATCCCAATGGCTGGGCGGAGCCAAGGGATTACGCACTAGGACTATTTGGCCAACTTTAGCAAGTCGCTGGATAACGCGCCATTTTGGGCGTTGTTGAAGAGAATGCAAGTAATCGCTTGACCAGGACCGCCAAAACTCTTCCGTCAGACGTTGAATCATTTGCCAACGCGACAATCGATTCTCGTTAAATTCAAGCACGCTTGGTTCGGCGGGAGCGAGAAGAGAGGTACCGATCAAGAAATGACCAGGCGTTAACGCGTGATAATCGTCAGGATTATCGGAGACGGGAGCGATCGGACGAGAATTCAAGCAAGCTTCAATGCGACAAAGAAACGTGGTCATTTCTTCAAAAGTTAATGTATGGAGGCCGATGCAACGCTTTATGTGGTATTTGACGCTCTTGACACCGGCTTTCCACAGTCCGCCGAAATGTGGTGCGGCCGGGGAGGAATTGCCACGCAGTTCCATCGCTAGCGAGACGATTACGAAAGCTTGGATCGCGAATTGCTTTCGCGTGAGCTTCGATAATTCTCGATTAGCGCCATAAAAGGTTGTACCGTTGTCTGAGTACATGGACTGCGGTAGTCCTCGGCGGGAGACAAATCGCTGGTACGCTGCAATAAAGGTCGGCGAGCTGTAATCGGAAACAAGTTCTAAATGCATAGCCTTGGTCGTTAAACATATGAACAGCGCAATGTAAGCCTTTTGCGATTTGTGTCCTCGGCCGGGCGCGGTTCGGACAGTGATTGGTCCAGCGTAATCAACGCCAGTATGTATAAATGCGCGAGCGGCACGGTTAACTCTCGCCTCCGGTAGATCGCCCATGAGTTCGACCGGTTTTTTAGCGCGCTCACGAGTGCATTGTACGCACTGATACAGAACAGCACGAACGGTAGCGCGAGATCGGAGGATCCAAAATTCATTACGTAATGAAGCGAGTGTTAATTGGGGACCAGCATGTAACGTTCTGAGATGATGATGCTGAATAATAAGAACTAGCAATGGATGTGCTCGTAATACGAGCGGATTCTTCGTCGTTTCTGAAAGGCAAGCATGACGGAGCCGTCCTCTGATGCGAAGAAGTCCGTCAGCGTCTAAATAAGGATTGAGTGTGGATAAGGAACTAGTTTTTTGTAACGGAAGTTGCCGTTGTAAAGTCGAGATTTCAACGGAAAACATCTCGGATTGCATAACTCGGAGCCAGTAATGTTTGGCTTTCTGGATCTCTTCGGGATGGAGGATCGCTTGTGAACACGATGCGCTTTTAGAGGATCGGAGTCGATAAAGAAAACGGTAAAGATAAGCGGTAATTCGGAGCAATCGAGGCCACGAAGAATAACGTGATGCGAGATCCCAACTAGGGGTTACATGTAAAGAATGAATAGGTGGTTGAGAACGCTGTTCAAGGGCGGTCTCGGCTGGTATCGAGAGCTCGCAAGTCGGCCAGGATTCTGGAGATTGGCAAAGCCATGAAGGACCTGACCACCATAAATTATAATTTGCGAGAGCATGGGGAGCTAGACCGCGAGAAGCACAATCGGCAGGATTGTCCTGCGTTGGAACATGACGCCAAGAAACTTCAGGCAGCAAGGACTGAATGATCGAAACGCGATTGGCAACGAAAGTTTTCCATCGAGATGGAGACTGACTTAGCCAAGCGAGTGTGATGGTTGAGTCGGTCCAACAGTGACATTCGATACTCGGAAGTTGAAGAGCGGACCGCACATAATTAACTAACCGAGCGAGAAGGAGCGCCGCCGACAATTCCAATCGGGGAACGCTTATCGTCTTGAGGGGAGCCACTTTCGATTTGCGATGAGAAGAGAGATGTTAATTGAGCCGTCGACATTAACAAACGCGAAGGTAAACAACGGCTGCGAAAGCCATAGTTGAGGCATCGGAAAAGCCATGGAGTGCGCTGTGCAGAGTATGAGATCCGTGCGTCGTCCAACGCGGAATACTGAGCGTCTCGAGATGCGGTAGTTGGTGATGATAAGTTGCCCAGTGGTCGAAATGTTCACCCGGAATGTCGTCGTCCCACTGACATTGGATCGACCACAATCGTTGCATAAAGATCTTTGCACCGATGATGACGGGAGCGGCCCATCCCATCGGATCGAAAAACCCAGCGATTGTCGAGAGAATAGCTCTTTTCGTTTTTCCCGGCGAAGACGGGAGAGATACGCGAAGTTGAAACGCATCGAGCTTTGGATTCCAACTAACTCCTAACACTTTAAGGTGTTCATCGTCTTGGAGGACTTTGTGAGTGGCTAGTCCATGATCGGCAGGATCGAGGTCTGACAAAAGATCTGGAGAATTACTTGCCCACTTTCGTAGGCGAAAGCCTCCTTTAGCGAGAAGCGCGATTAATTGGTCTCGTGTTTGCCGTGCAAGGATATGATCGTCGGCTCCGAACGCGCAATCATCAACGTATGTTTGATGACGTAGAACAGGGACGGCCAACGGAAATTGAGCACCGTCATCTTCAGCGAGTTGGTCTAGCACTCGAAGAGCGAGATACGGAGCGGCGGCAGTGCCGTACGTCACGGTAAGAAGACGGTAGTCGCGAACAGGTTCGCTGGGAGAAGAGCGCCATAGAATGCGCTGGTAATCAGTATCGCGGAAGTCAACTAAAATTTGACGATACATTTTGGCGATATCGGCGGTAAATACGTAACGATATTGGCGCCACTGCATTATGACAGCGGCCAAATCCTTTTGAAGTTTAGGTCCGATAAACATATTATCGTTTAACGAGGTTCCGTTAGTGGTACGGCAGGATGCATTAAAAACAACCCGCAGTCGAGTAGTTGCACTACTGTCACGTAAGACAGCATGATGCGGTATGTAATAACTTTGATCCGGTTGTACAATTTCTGTCGGTGGAATTTTGATCATATGACCAAGGTTTTCGTATTCCGTGAGAAAGTCGTGGTATTCTGAAGCGATAGATGGATTGCGTTTGAAACGTCGCTCTAAGCGATAGAGGCTCGATTCGGCAATGAAGCGAGATTCTCCTAACGAGAGTGGTGGTCCGGTTTTAAACGGTAATCTACAGGGTTTGTCCGGAAAGTAATGCGTCGCATTTTTTTAAAAAGAATTTATTGATCGCATAGGTAAAACAACTTAAAATTGTTCGAAGTATGACCCTTCTGCGTCAATACATTTTGCCAACGCGATTTCCATGCGTCATAAGATTTCTGGAACTCCTTGACTGGGATGCTGTTCAGGGAGGCCGGTCCGAAAGTAGCTTGTACGTTGTCAACCGACTCGAGCTGTTGTCCTTTGAGCTCCCTTTTCAGCCGAGGAAATAAAAAAAAGTCGCGCCGGGGCCAAACTTCTTGAGCATTGTCAAAGTATTCCAGCGGCGTCTTGTCCAGCTTCACGCAAAACATTATCGCATAGCGTTGCTCTATATCGTTTCTCTCATCACAAGTTCGACGCGACCACTAAGCAACAGGTTCACAGAATAGCCGTCCTAACCCTCCAAGCGCATGGAAACAATTGAGCGACCTACGTTGGAAAGCTAAGGGTACCCCCCTTCCTCCCCAACCGGTCCCATCGCTCTGCGATGTATAGTCGCGTCAAAAAAAAATGCGACGCATACTTTCCGGACAAACCCAGTAACAATATAAGTCCTTGAGGAGTGCGGAAGGGTAGCGAGGAGTGCTCTTCACACTTGCGCTCGTCAGGGCTTGGTGTGTGGGTCGGAGGGCACCTCTTCAGTCTCCCAGAAACGACGAAGGTCGAAATCTAAGGCTTCAGGACGACCTCCGTGATGCGCGGGTCCACGAAATCGAAATGATTTATCGGGGACGAAGCGATTGGCCCGGACAAAATCCAACCGAGAGAGTATTTTGC